TTTCCAAAGAGCAACTGGCATATTTGAACCACCAACCTTGCAGTTTGCAGTCCAGTGGTTATCCTACAGCGAGCACCATACCAGGACTCCATCCTTATCCTAGTGGTTGGGACAGGCGACCTAGTAGCACACAGTTTTAGTATTTGGCTGCTAACTGCAAGGTCAACAGTTAGAACCCACCAGTTGTACCATGGGAAAAAAGATGTGGCTATCTGTTTCCAAAAAATTTACAGCATTAGAAACTCATAGTTCTACTCAGCCATACAGGGTCTCTATGAGTTCAGATCCATGTGATGGCAACAGGTTAGTGATTGTGAAGGAGTACCTGAGTGATACAGAGAGTTAAGTGCTGGATTACTAGTCACTAGGCTGGTAATTCAAACTCACTCAGAGACACCTTGGAAGGCCTGGGAATCTACTGTCAAAAAATCAGTCATTGAAAATCCTATGGAGCAGGTTCTACTCTGACACACGTGGGGACCCCAGAAATCTGAATCCACTCAACAACAAGTGGTTTTCTAACTTCATATAGAACCTGAATTGTGATGCTGGCAAATAATACTGATTATAATTGGAACCCTGGTAGCATAGGGAATTATGAGGGGGGCTGCTAACTGCAAGGGCAGCACTTTGAATCTATGGGTCACTCCGAGGGAAAAACACTATACTGGGGCGCTATAAGTCAGAATCAACTCAACATACACAACCACCAACCACCACAATAGCCAGAAAGGCATACAAATCTGTCTTACAAGTATAACCAGAATGCTCCCTAGAAGCGAAGACAACATACTTGGACATATTATCAGGATGGACTCATCCCCGAAAAAGGACATCATGTTTGGCAGAGAGTCAACTAAAATGAGGAAGACCTTCAAACAAGATGGATTGTCACAGTGGTTACAATGGGCTCCAACAGAAGGAATCCCAGGATCAGGCCGTGTTTCCTTTGTTGTACGTGGCGTAGCTATGTGTTGGAACCAATCTGAGGCACCTAAGAACAACACGTAACTTGTGTGTAAATATATCAAAATTGTTTAAAATAGGTATATGATATGCTCTGGCAATCCAGGTCTTTTTCAAGAGGCACTAAGTCAACATTTTCGAACCTATCCACAAAGAGATGGATTGGCGCAGTGGCCGTGGGCTCAAGTGTAACAACAATTGTGAGGCTGCCACATGACCCGGCAGCGTTTCCTTCTGTTTTTTGTTCCGGGGTGCACAAGGTCGCTAAGAGTCAAAGCCGACTCAACGGCGCCTAACAACAACTAATTCAACAATCCCACCTTCAGAGTCCGTAAAATACACACACTCACTAGGTCTGTAGTGCACATGAGCTGCAGCCATTTCTGGGTGAGAAGAAATCCTTGTAGGTAAACTCTGTCGGGTCGGTTCCAACCCACAGCGACCCAGTATAGGGTTTCCAAGGAGTGGCTGGTGAGCCTGAACCGCCAGACCAGAGCATTACCCCGCAGCGCCGCACCAGGACCCCTAAGAGAATGTAAAACTCCTAGGGCCCGGGAGCGAGGGGTCCACACACACATTTTTGGAAACTGTTATAAGCTGAATAAGTTAGGTATTTTTCTTACTCGCTGGGACTGGCCAAGAGTTAGGAAACAGGTGTTTATGATCTCCAAGGATGATTTGTGAACTTTCTGGAAGTTCCTCGTGGTATAGGATTCAACTAGTAGGCAAATGGGAAAGAATCTCCCTATAGGGAATTAGCTTTGGAGAGAGAAAAACGGAAGACCTTACCTTTGGGGATAAAATAGGTGCCCTTCATAGAGACAGATCCTTGCTCCCTCAACCTCGCAAGTATTACATCTAATCCACAAGCTGCGCAGCCCTACTCCACATATGCGCATGCGCCGAGTGGAACAGCCTTTCTCTGCGCATTAGCAGTTGTGGGTAGCTCTTCCTCGAAAGTTTTTTGTCGAGTGGGGTAGATTCTTGTGGAGAGCGACTTTAGCCTAATCTCCTGTATGTTACTCGCTAGGCGGCGTTGGGGGATAAAACGAAAGGCAGGAGCTTTCTTACTCTTCTCTTGTTTTAGCTTGATGCTCTGATCCAACCTCAGTATCTGCAAGGCATGAATTTGACTCAGGAATTTTAAACTTCCTTCAAAGTGCCTGCACCTGGGGGGGTCTTTTTTACTAGAGACGCTAAGAATGTGATGGCCTCAGAAATGTCTTTCTTTGACTTTCATATGAATCAGCAATCTAAGGTTGAGAGTAAAGTTAACTTGAAAAAAGAAAAGATGAAAGGGAAAATACACACACACACACACACACACACACGCTTACACGTGCACAGAACAATCTGGGACTTCAGTGTGAATCCTGGTGTGGTGCTGTACGATAAGCACTGGACTGCAAGGTCGGTTTGAATCGTAAGGTCAGCGGTTCAAACTCATCAGCTGCTCCACAGAAACCCAGGGTCACTATAAGTCCGAACCTATTCGATGGCACTAAACAACTATGACTTTCTTCAGTTGAGGGAGGGTGTGATTTTCTGTAACGTTTGAAAATTGTCCAATGTGTGTGTTATTTTTTAATGTTTTCGTGTTTTAATCCTTTATGAAAAAGTAAACAAGAAAATTTGGAAGTTTCAGAAGTCTGTGCCGAATCCAGTAATATTCACAGAATTATCTGTACATGTGAAGATAAAATATCTGGTGTAAACCTGTGGGGGGGGGGCGGTTTTCTGGGCCAAAGACCTTCGGGACTAGTGAGGAACACAGGAGGAGGGGCAGACTATTCTGGAGAATAACCGGCAGTCTGATGCAGAAAATAGAAACCTTTATCATCTGAATCACTGTAGAGTCTTTTCGAATTTGCTGAAGATATGTAAAGGAAATTTTAGATGTGGGCTCACTGAAGTCCAACGTAGATTGAAAGGGGACATTGGATGCTTATTTTTTATGAAGGAAATTAAGTGTAACCGGTAGGGCTGAAACCTGAAGTTCTTTTTCGAGATAAAGAAAACTTGGGGCTGGTTCTGGTATATATCCCTGCCCCCAATCTTGCAAAATAATTCCAAGCTCCCTTCTTTAAGGATAATGGTGAGGAACTTTTTTTTTTTCCCCTTCAGTTTTTGTTGTGAATTGAGTGATAGTTTCCATGGGGGAACATCAGTTTTACATTCATTGTTTCATTGCAGTGATTACTGTATAGGGTTTCTGAGGAGTGGCTGGTGGGTTTGAACTGCCATCCTCGTGGTTAGCAGTCCAGTGCTTATCCTACAGCACCACACTAGGATCCCATTTCTGAGGCTACTGTTGTTATGTGCTGTCGAATCAGTTCCAACTCCCAGTGACCCTGTATAGGGTTTCTGAGGACTGTCTGGTAGGTTTGAACTGCCGACCTTTCAGTTAGCAGTCAAGAGCTTATCCTACATTGCCACACCAGGACTCTACTTCAGAGGTGGTGGTGGTTATGTACCACCGAGTTGGTTCTGACCCATAGTGACCCTGCATAGGGTTCCCGAGAGGCAGCTGGTAGGTTTGAGATTTGTAAGACTGTGAAGTAAACAGCCAGGGTTTATAATTAGCTGTCTTAATTGTCCTAGAGTGATGTTGTAGGATAAGCACCAGACTGCTAACCACAAGGTCAGTGGTTCAAACTCAACAGATGCTCCTTGGAAACCCTATACAGGTTTGCTATGAGTTGGAACTAACTTGATGGCACTTAACAACAACAATAATTTTAAGTAAATATCCAGAAGTTGAGCTCCCAAGTAAAATGCTTTAGGAATCGTGTTTCTTAAGTAACTCCAGAAATTAGTGCATCTACAAAGAAATGATTGAGTAATGTATCAATTAGACTGAGCAATGGGGAACATCCGGTGATAGAAATTCCCGTGTTGTTGTTGCTGAGTGCCATCAAGTTAGTTCCGACCCATAGCAACCCTGTGTAGGGTTTCCTAGGAGCAAATGGCAAGCTTGAACCAACGACCTTGTGGTTCAAACACATTTTGCAGTGCAGCGCATCAACCCACAGCACCACATTAGAACTCCAAATTCCCCTACAGGGGATTTAAAAAAAAAAATCACAGAGGAGCATACTTGGTAAAATTTATTTTTTTAAAAAAAAAAGAAGAAAAACAATAATTTATATCCTTGACAAAATAAAGAATCTTGTCAATATAAATGTTTCTTAGAAAATACATGAAAAGATAATATAATATATATATATATATATCAATAAATCAATATCAATATTATAGCAAAAGTAATAATGATTCTGTAACAAGTGAGGACCCTCCTGTCTCTCACACAATATAGTATTCTGGAAGATCCTTTGATTCCTCCTTTCTTTAGTACTGATGTGCTCTCTTTTTAAGAAAACCTAACACACAAATCTAAATCTACAAAGTTGATCAGTTAAAGGATATTTATTGTCATCACAAAATTCTTTCAAAAAAAAAAAAAATTAAAGATCTTTGTCAGAAATCCTTCAAATAGCAAATCTTCCTAATGCATTTAGATACGATTGCCAGATACATTTGTCCCCAACTTGTTTTCAGTTTGGGCTCTATTGCATAAAGTAAACTAGAAGTTATGAGGAATGAGAGTTGGACTCCCAGCCTGATTAGGGAAAATATGATCCTATTCTTAGGATGAGGAAGATTCTCTCAGTGTTTTGCTTCTCTCATCCTGGGATTTTTTTTTTTTTTTTTCATCCTTGTCTCTGCTGCTTCTTGGTAAATTTTGTTCACCTGGTACTCTCAGGGAAAAACAGAGGAAGTCATGTGGGGCAGGGGGCATATGAATGAATTAGGGACTCACTCCAACAGAGGACAGCAAGTGGAGATTCTGGGGTTCAGAGTGTATAGGTAGTTATAGCTAGGGGAAGGCAGAAACAATTCTGTACCCTTGATATGTGTGCTTTGTTTTGTTTTCTGTGGTCCCTCTTCCCATAAGAGAACCTTTTCTCTGAGGAGTAGCAGGACCGGCCCAGCTCTCTCTGAATGAGACACATCCTTAGGAGAATGGACAAGGCCTATTTGTCGCATTCTTCCTGGCTCCCTTCAGCACTGTAGTGCTGCTCACAGAACTCTTGGATCCGGCTGCAGGCCTCCAGCATCATCACCTCAGGCACTGTGATTACTACTCGGAAGAAATTCGGATACTCAAAGCACTGCAAAAAAAAAAAAGGGGGCCTCTTATTTTCAGAGCAACTGAATCTACTTCCATACTGCGCTATAAATGGCCAGGGCCCCAATCAATAAGAGGCAGGGATGCCATTTGCTCAGGGGTATCAGTCCATCTCTGTCCCATCACTGAGGGACCAGGTAGGTAACTGAGTTCGTTCATTGTAAACGGAAGCAGTGGGACAAGCTTAATTTCCTCGCACTTAACACTGTAGCATTGAGGTTGCCCTGAGTCAGAATCAGCCTCACAGCTACTAACAACCACAAGAAAAAGGTCAGCTCAGAGAGACTCCAGGGGCTCTAGAAATGGTTGAGACTGTCTTGAGAGAGCTCCAAGCACTCACCGTTGCTGGGAGGCAGTGCACGGATTGCTCAGCCACTAGCCGCTCAGTGAATTCCACATCATTCTCAAATTCTGGGAAATGTTCCATCTCTATTCCAACCTATACCAATCATAGAAGAAGGGCCAAACTTATCAGAAGGAGGGAAAACAGACCAGCCCCTTATAAGAGAAATTCAGGTAGGGACTCTTCTGTTGTAGGGAACTCTGCTACAGATAACTCAGACTCAGGGTTTGAGCAAGCAGTTAGGAGCTCATGACATTTTTCACTGAAAAGAGATGATATATTTGTAATCATAGTTTGTTGAAGAGTTCCTTTCTGGATGCTAATAAATTAATGCTGAAGATAGAACACCAGAGGTTCCCTAGAGAGGCACTGTTAGCATTATAGTGGGCTAAGCAATTCTATTCCATCTCTTACAAGATGGTATTTAGCAACTCTGGCCCACAGCATGTGCCAGTCATTCTGAAAACAAACAAATAAAAATCCTACAATTTCCCAAATTCCCTTAGGGAACCAGTATTACCCCCAGTTGAGAATTATAGTGATGGGGAAAACATCTTATCTGTATCTTGTATCTTTCTTATATCTAGATATCAAATGATTGTCCATACTGATAAATTAAGTCACTTTAAGATCTTTTTAAACAGGTCAAATCACATCAGTGGGACAATTCAGAACAAAATAGTTCCTAAGCTGACTGACTTGGGAGTGTAGCTCATTATTGTTATGAGTGGTGGTTCCTGGAATTGTTCAAAGCACGTCCTGCGTGACTGCCTCTGGCAGTGGCTTCCCTTTGATTGACCTCACCCATCGACCTAGTGCCTGCCACCCATTACTTACCATAAGGTACATGGCCCCAGAAGGGCGGACTGGCCGGAGTCCAGGGATGGCAGCTAATGCCCCATAACAGAGATCAGCGTTGGACTACAAAAGGAGGCAGAAATCAAGGATCAACATGTAGGTAAAATCAAACCAACTCATTAAAAGTGGAGCCAGCCTCAATGGTCAGAAACCTTGGTTTGCTCTGCTGGATTAAGGAGTCAAGAAGAAAGCGCCTGGTCACTTGAAGCTTCAGGAAGGGGCATCAAAATGTGGATCGATACCTATACCGGTACCACCTCTTGGACAAATGTTATTGTTGTTCAGTGCCGTCGAGTCGGTTCCGACTCATAGCAACCCTGTATAGGGTTTCCGAGGTGAGCTTGAACCACAGACTTTGTGGTTCAAAACGACTTTGCAGTCTAGCATTAATCTGCAGCATAGCATCACTACTAGATAAATAGGAAGCCCCAAAATAGAAAACTACCCCAGAACTGAGAACCAGTTATTCCCAGTTCCCCTGGTGGCATTTCCTGGTCCCCCAAAGTGGAAGGCTATAGCTGCTTTTACCTGGAGGAAGCTCAGAGTGTTGTCGTAGAACTCTTGAGGGGTGCGACGCAGGATGCTTTTCAGAGCTCCCTGGACAATGGTGCAAGGTCCCAGAATCCTCTGGCTCAGCTTCACCAGCCCGTCTCGGATCTACAGGACCCCAACAAACACAGGTAGCCTTTGTTAAGCATTCCTGCTTCAGAATTCGTGTTTCCTCTTGGGGGATGTGATGGTGCCCCGGGACATTCTGAACTCAGACCACCTGGGTTTGTAGTGTAGCTCTGCCACACACCGGCTGTGTGACTCTAGGCAAATTATATAATTCCCTTGCACCTCATTTTTCTCAACTGAAAAATGGAGTTAATATTAATACTGGACTGTTATAACAATTAAATCATGTATACACAAATAGACAATGTTGTTGTTGTTGTTAAGTGCCACTGAATCTATTCCAACCCATAGTAACCTTGTATAGGTTTTCCGAGATAGCCACTTGTTAAATTACATAGGGACCTTAGGGGACAATGAATTTATGTTACTGGGGGAGGAACAACTCAGAAAAGGAGAGTGAGAATGATTGCACAACTGGAAGAATGTTTTCAATGTCACTGAATTGGACATGTAGGAACTGATGAATTGGTGTATGTTTTCCTGTGTATATTCTCAACAACAAAATAAATTTTTAAGAGTGATGTATATAAAGCACTGGTATACACTAAGCCCTCCAACGTTAGCTGCCATTTCTCTTGTTGTTTCCTTTATTTGCAGGTGGGGGAATCACAGAATCAGATACAGAAAAACTAAGCTTTGGAGAGGCATAACTGTTCCTGTCTGTATCCACTGTCTCTCTAGGTACCCTGAGCTGTGGGGCCAAGATACGAAAAAGAGAAAAACTCCACTTCCTTACCACTGTTCACACAAAGACCTGGTGTCTCACCACAATGATCTCACCTCATTGCCAAAAATGTCTCTTCGGTCATGGATAAGGATCCAGCCCAACCTCCAGCCAGGAACCAGCCAGCGCTTGGCCAACCCACCACAGGATAGGATGGGAACGTTGGTGCTGAGGGTGGCCAGAGGCTCATATTTGCAATCTGCAAACACCTGAGGACCAGAGATACTCATTAGAGTTGTCTGCTTGCCTACTTATCCCCCAGAACCCATCTTTTCCTTACACACTAAGGATGCGTTTTCAGGCTCATCCCTACCCTGCAGCATAACTGAAATGCCAAGAAACTTGAAAGATGATGGTCCAAAGATCTTACATTAGCTGTCTACTCTGGCTTAAAGGAAACCTAAAACAAGGAAATGGGCCCTAGTGCAGAAATATGTACAATTCCATGAAGTTGGTAGTGGCAGTTGGAGTTATAGATTAAAACATTATAATACGGACTCACAATCATTTATCAAAAACTCCTAGGTCCAGATATGCTTCAGAATGCAGACTTGCTTAGATTTTAGAAAGATGATATGGTGCTTACACCATATAATAGGAGTGCAGTGGCTCTGTAGGATAAACACTGGACTATGAACCACAGGTTGGTGGTTCAAGTCCACCAGATGATCCACAGAAGAAAGATGAGGTTTTCTGTTCCCCAAATAATTTAATGCCTTGGAAACCCCATACAAGTTTGCTATGATTCAGAACTGACTCCACGGCACTTAGCCACCTGTATTAAGTCACAGCTTCAGTGCCGTTTGGGGCAACACCACTAGGTAAGCATTCTCATAGTTCCGCCACTTCCCTTACACTCTTAACAAATATATAAACTCACAAATACAACAAACAAAATCTATACATATCTTCATATCAAGCCAAATCAGGTTTTGCCACCAAATGAATTTCAAATATCTTTGGGTTTTCATAGCTTTCTGGATTTCATAAAAGTAGCTAATAAGTTGTGGCTATCTACACACACATTGCTGCTTCTGGTGGTGGCGGTGGTGTTTGGTTTTGTCAGCTCACAGTGACCATATGTGCCAGGGTAGAATTACTCCATAGGGTAATCGTGGCAGTAATCTTTAGGACAGTAAGTTACCAGGTCTGACTCCCGTGGAGCTGCTGGGTGGGTTCAAACTGCCAACCTTTGATTAGCAGCCTAATGCTTATCTGTCATGCCACCAAGACTCCTTCACACATACAAACACATATTTGTTAAGGATATAGGGAAACAGAGTTTCTATACTGAGATGATTTGGAGTTAGAGCTGATTATTCCCAATCTCTACCTCTAAAGGTCTCCATAGAATAATTTGGGACTGAGCTATCTGTGGGTGACATCTGCCAGAACTCACCATGTCTCCATAGATCTCGTCAGCTAAGATGGGGACACACTGCCTTGCAGCCACTGAAAATAAGAGAAACATGCTGAAACCATTTTGAATGGGAATATCCTGAACTTTTAACATGCATCTAGTCTAGTCTTAATGTACTTTGCATTTCCTGTTTGTGTGTTTTGTCTTCCTCTTTAAGAACTGCAAATTTTTAAAATTCTTCCAAGGAGCAAAACTTCCATTTGTCATTTAATTAACTAGGTATTTCAAACTGTGTCTTCCACATGATGGGAGGGGTAGAGAGGCACGCATTTCTTAGTCTGCTCCTTCTTTCATACAAGTTCTACATTCCTGTGATGTGCTGTGTAGAGTCCTCCCTGGAGCTCTTCCTCTCTGTCCTAGGTTTGGAATACAGTAGACAATGCTTTCGTATTCCAGAAACCAGGTAGGGGTTTTTCTCTCAGCATCCTCTCCGTGATATCAGCTGGGCTTACCTGCCAGAATTTTCTGAAGGTGCTTTTTGCTGAACACAGACCCACAGGGGTTTGATGGATTATTAACAATGAGACATGCTGTCTTTTCATCAATCAGTGATTCGAGTTGTTTCAGGTCAATTTCCCAAGACTTCTCTGGCTAGAGAGGAAAAACAAGGGTGAAACTAAGACGATTATGGGAGACTCAGGGGGAATACTCACTTAACCCAAGGGTACAATGTAAATAAGAAGATGTCTGTGGTCTTGAGTAGTCACTGAGTATCTGAGTCTAAAGCGAAAAAGTCATTTACCAGAAGGTTGTAGAGTTTGACCTCAATTCCCATAGCTTCGGCCAAAGTCTTGTAGAGAGAGAAACCAGGTCTAGGAACTAGGATGTTTTGTCCTGGATTGGCCAATACAGCTAAACAAAGTTCGATAGCCTGGCTGCAACCACTTGTCAGAATGACATCCTGAGGAGAGCAAAAGAGCGCAATTAACTTTGTTACGGTTTCCAACAAGAAGAGGAGAGACCAGCTGGTTAGATGGGTGAGTGGGGAGTAATAATAAACTTACTTTTATAAGTTCAAAGTAAAGTAGTAGGAACTGTACCAAACCAAAGCCAAGATAAATCAGGATGTTTATATATGTCCAGATCTAAATGTTGTTGAAAATGCAGTATTTTAATCACTTTAGAAGGAAAAATTGGCTGTGACTCAGCACATTTCCATGGGACAGCACAATGGCCTTGGACTTTTCCACCTGGCTATTTATTTACTTTTGGCCAGTGATTTGGAGCCTGGCTCTTCTTTGAAATATTGATGAAGGGCATCGCTTACATTAGGCAATAGACAATAAATGAAACAGTGGCATTTAATCTTAAACTTGGCATTGCCAAGTGGGCTGTGGTGTGCTGTGGTGTCTCAGCCTTCCTACCTGAGTGACCTTTAGGTGACTATGGGAAGCTATACATGTTTAAAGGTCTTATTGGTGATATAAAAATGTCAATAATTTAGTGCACATGAATTTTTCTCCAATGATCTCATTTACAGAATTAAACACAGGGTGACCTCCTCTTAGTCTTCCAAGTTTCCTTGAGACAGACATCACCTAAGTTGTGCATGGTACAGTGGGGTAAGCATTGGACTGCTAGCCACAAAGCTGGCCGTTCAAACCCACCAGCTGCTCTGCCAGAGAAAAATGAGGCTGTCCGTTCCCTTTAAGATTTAAGTCTTGGAAATTTGTATGAGCAGCTCTACTCTATTCTACAGTCAGGAGCAATACGATGGCAGTGAGTTTCACGTTTTATTATACATTAAAGTTAATGACATTAAGTAGCCCTGGTGTGACACTGTAAGATGAGCACTCGACCATATAAGGTTGTTTTGAACCACAAGGTCGGTGTTTCAAATCCACCAGCCGCTCCTCAGAAACCTTATACAGGATGGCTATGAGTTGGAACTGACTCAATAGCACTTAACAAAAACAGCTATATAAGAACTCCTCAAATGACTAAAGGGAGATTATTCTTCAGTTCCTCCACCCCAAAACTTTTACTCGTTGTGGTCCAGAAACAAGGAAAAGTCTAGTTTGTCCTGAATTGCTTCCGAGCTGGTACCTTGTAGAAGGCTCACCTTCGCTTCCAGGGGTGCCTCAGGACAGTGGTAATAAGAAGCAATCTCCTCTCGACTGGATAGGTAACCTGGAAGAAAAGGGTGGGCAGAGGGAGCTAGAGGTTTCCACTTCCCAAAAGGCAGTCAGACCCCTCTAGAGAGGCAATGTGGGCTTCAGGCTACCTTCAGCCCCTGCTCAGAGCACATCCTACACAGTTCAGCTCTGTCTCTGTAGATAAAGGAGATTAACTTCCTGTTTAAGATTTTATAATTTTATATTAAGCACCAACATAATAAACAACAAGGAAGAACTCCCCAAACTATAAAAAATTCTGCGCTATCTTAATTACTGTATGCTTTTCCTCTGTAAATCAAAGACAGATTATTCCTAAGTCTCTTCCAGATGGCATTGTGAGTCTATCCTTTTTGAATAGTTGTAACCAACATATTCAATAAGTTAGATCCATTTTACATTTTTTTTTAAATTACATTAAGTATTTTTTAAATTGATATTCTTTTAAATTATTTTCTTGTACAAAATTTCCAAATGTTTGTTTATAAGTTTAAAGTATAGGCCAGTTTATGCTTATTATCATGTATGACAGAAATGTTTTCGAAGAGGACTGTCTTCATTTAGCCAGAGGGAGTATTTCATAATGTTTGCTCATTTACTAGGTATAAATGGGCCTCTAAAAGTTATATAAGTTAGCTCTTAATTGTGAATGAGAAAGAATGTTTTCCTAAGTGTAAATTTCCTTTAACATGAAATTTCATAGCATTTGAACATTAATTTGCCTAACGGAGACTTGGTGTTGACTCTTCAGATTTAATCAGTTCCCTAATACTTGGGATATGAAAACCATAATCAACTTATTATAATCTAATTTTTGGCCTTGATTTTGTTTTGATCTTTATTGTAAGAAATTTTATAAGATTTCACCAATCAATCTAAAAGTCATGTCCCTGATTCCTTTTTGAGGTGTTTTTAAAATTCTGTTTTAGCATGAGACTAGGTTATTATTCTGCACAGAATATGTTTTTATGTCCACATATGCACAGGGAGGAAGTGCGTAATTCTGAAACACAAGCAAGAAATCACTTATTTTACCTGAAAACTTCTGAGTGGACATTTCTAATAGATGGGGGAATTAAACCTGAACAGGAAAAATGTCTCTCTCTCAGAAGCAACCTTCTATCCTTTCATATGACAGCTCATTCTTTGTTGTTCTTGGTTTTTTAAAGGAGCTCTGGTAGTGTAGTGGTTATGAATCGGGCTGCGAACCCCAAGGTCAGCAGTTCGAAACTACCAGCCGCTCCACAGGAGAAAGATGAGGTATTCTGTTCCCATTAAGAGTTACAGCCTCGGAAACCCTATACAGGGCCGCTATGAGTTGGAACTGACTCCACGGCACAGAACCACTACCACCAATCTTAAAATAAGGAGTCCTGGTGGTACTGTAGGGTAAGCACTGGATTGCTAACCACAAGGTTGGCAGTTCAAACCTACCAGCTGTTCCGAAGGAGAAAAATGAGGCTTTCTGCTCCCATAAAGATTTATAGCCTCAGAAACCCTATGCAGGGTGGCTAAGAGTCGGAATCAACTTGACGGCAGTAAGTGTGGTTTGGTTCAGAATCTTAAATAGTTATAATTGCATTTCAGTATGCCCAGGATCATAATTAAAATAGGCCTTCGATAAAAACAAGCAAAGGTGTTAATTGCACAGGGCAATTGCTGCTGTTGTTGTAAATGCTGTCAAGTCAGTTCTGACACAGCAATCTTGTATAGAGTTTCTGAGGAGTGGCTGGTGGATTTGAACTGTCAACCTTGAAGCTTCAACCAACATTGCAGTCGAGTGCTTATCCTACAGCACCACACCAGGACAATAAGTAAGTTAATTCAGGCCTTAGAGGACTCAGTAAACAAGCAACGTCAGCCAAATCCAAGGTCTTCATGTGAGAATTAATAATGATAGGATAGAAGCATTTGAGAAATAAGTATATAATGGGAGTCTACAGCTAAGGTGTCAGTTTGCCAACGAAATCTTGAAAAGATTAGACCTTTATGGCTTATGTTTAAGTACCCTGGCACTTCTTTCCCCGATCCAAATGGCCGTTTGATCTTAGTTTCTCTTTAAGAACTATGCACCAGGAAGGCAAAGAGAACTGTTAGAAACCAAGTCCCCTTATAGGAGTCCTGGTGTGACACTGTAGGATAAACAATGGGCTGCTAACTTCAATGTCAGTGGTTCAAACCCACCAGTTACTCTCAGAAACTCTATGAAGGGTCTCTATGAGTCAGAACTGACAACAACACTTAACAACAACGTAAGAGCACTAAGGACTTCAAAGACACTAGGAAAAAGGTCTTGGGTGGAGTTTACCAATGCATGGGGCTTAGCCGTTATACTTGGGAGGAGCTTACCAATGGATGGGGCGTAGCCATTATACTTCCCGGAGTCCAGGGCATTTTTCATTGCTTGTGTAACTTCAGGGTCTGTAGGCAGGTTTCCAAACACAGTGGGATCCCCTTTTCATAAGAGAGACAAAATTAAAAGGAGACACTAAGAGTGCTCAGATTCCCCCTCCACTCCCATCTTCTCAACCAGTCGTTAGGGATAAGGAGAGGGGAAATTAATGACTGACCTCAGTCAACTGTCCCCAACTCACCAATTGACAGAGCAATTGTTGCTTTGTTTGGATTTGGCTTCACCTTCATGCTGTCCACAATGGCCCGGATGGGATTGAAAGTGTTGTTGGCCATGTCCGAGGGCTTCACGCACCATCTGGCCTTCCTGCCTTTCATTTTTCCCTGCATGGAGCTTTTCTCACCAATGTTGACGTGCACATCCAAAACTGAGGGGTGGGTGCCACGGCCGCTCATCTCAATCACGTAAGGGTTCATTGCTAGCCTATGAGGAAAAGAAGGAGGGTCCAGTGAAATTCGGAACAGAACAAATAACCAGGGTGATTTCACTGGATAACTCTTGTCAAACTTTTTCTTGTTGTATTGTGCTCTCACTTAGGTTTGTCATGGGTGAGGGGAGTTTTAAGGCTTGTTACTGAAATGGAAAATAAAGCAAGAACCCAGTCTGCAATGTTAATAGAAAGCATTCCATTGAACATATATTTCCTACAAGTGATAATTTGCTATGTATAACTGTAATCCCTGTAAAAACGTCACCATGCTCTAAATGAAACTAAAAGGAAATGACATAAAAATTGTTAAGCAATCAGAGCCTATGCATCTTCTCTTCTCCATGTACAGCCTACCCAGGAGAAAGTTTTCCTGAAGACCAGACTGGGTCTTGCTCTCTGCAGAAAAGAACCAGAAATAACCACTCCTCCTTGTTAGAATGTATAGTTAACGTTGCTAGCGATCATAAAGTCCTATTCCGTAAGCGTTTTACCAATACAAAACGAAGTCACTACACCACAGAGGAGAAAGAACACACAAATTCCCAACACCAGATTAGCTTAGGTTTAAGACTTTACCTTCTAAATACAGGAGCAGGCTCCAAGTAGCTGAACCTGAAGGTTCACTTCGTTCTTTGACAAGTTACAGTGATACTGGACTCAGATGTAAATCCTGATTCCTAAAATAGTGTCCACAAATGGGAGTTGGGTCTGAAACGTTTATGCTATTGGTTGAGGTTGAGAGCTAAACAACTAGCCCTCCCCTTGTTCTCTTTCCTTCCCTCCCCAATTTTTGCTGCCTCTCACCCCAAACCACACCCCACCCACAAATCAGGAATTTGTTCACACGTCAAACATCTGGGATTTTCTGCATTAACTCTTTCTGTGCACCATTTAAATGTTGGAGAAGGCTAGCAGAGGGTAGTCATGATTACAGTTAGTAATTTTTATTAAGTATTTTTTAAGTTGGAAGACAAAACCATCAGAATTCAAACAGGAGAGGCAAATACATAGTAAAAAGCAAGGATGTTCCTGGACCCTCTTACCAGGCTTAGTCATTCTCTGCTGAGGGTTAAGCAGTGTTAATGGTTTGGATTTTCTATCCATTCACCAACCTTGATATGTAGATGACAGATAGATAGATCATTTAAAAAATACAGATGTGATTTTGCTCCACAACTTGCTTAGCTTTTTACTCCCTACACCTTAGATACAAGATCAGCTCCAGTCAGTACAAATTGAGTAGCTGAAGTAATCTAAAACTCACACAACAAATATCTTAAAAGTAAAGTGTCTCCAGGGTAACATGAACCTGTGTAACTTTTTTCTTTCACTATGAATTCGACATCACTGATTTGCCATAGAATTATTGGAAGAATAAGATGTTGGGTTGGATGTAAGAAAACAACTTTGCTAAGCATGCCATTGAGACCATAACTCGGAGCTCGACATTGCCACGAACCTATGAAAAACACCGCCCACTCAAGGGTTAAGAGAGACTTTCGTGGGTCCTATCTGTTTGTTTGTCAGGAGATACAGAGTTGTTACATAAGTTCTTTATTTTTCAACAATTCATATCTTTAGTGGGGTTGAATAACCTTTTATTTATTTATTTATTCTGACTCTTCCATCTCTTAGAACTTACCTAATGCATTTTCTGTCTTACTCTAATGAAGAAACATTCTATATTTTACCAGTGGAGAAGCAAAGGCACTACACAAGCTCAAAAAGAATGTAAATTCTGAAGCTGGAAGCCAGGCCTTAGATAACCAGGGCTGCCCCGTCTCAAAATGTGAATACTCAACTCCTTCTCTCCAACATACAAAGAAACAGAAAAGAAAGGCGTAAGTCAGATCTGGCCATTTGACACTGTATGACAAAAGTCAAGAAGCTTTTTTGTTTTACTAAAAGCTATTGAATACTGCATAAACAGCAGTATACTTGCAGGCTGGCTAGGATTTCACTTGGTATAGTAGCCAACCTAATGAGATTATATTGTTTCTAATGCACAACAATATAGGCCAGAGACCATTCGTTTCAAAATTCTTTTACTTCTTCCTACTTTCTCATTTTAAATACTGCATGTGTGCACTGGATAAAATCAGAAAAGAATCAAAATGCTTATAATCCTATTGCCATTTTTATTTTTTATTTTTTTTAATGTTGTCATTACTGTTGCTAAGTGCTGTTGAGTCAGTTCTGACCCATAGCGACCCTGTAAAGAGTTTCTAAGGAACAACTGATGCAGCTTTATCTGTGCATTAGTCTCGTCTCTCCCCATCCACCCACAAAGTTAGAATATTGTTCTATATGTTAACTTTCGCAGCTTGGATTTTTCAATTATATCATGAAACGTATCCCATGTTTTAAAAAGCATTCTCTTATAGAGAAGGGACAGAATTTATTGAATGATTTTCCTAACCAACATCAAATGGAGTCTAATTTTCTATCACTGTAAAGGACATTCTTCTACATAGGTACTGATTCATAGATTTTATTTATTATTTCCATAACATACATTTCCACACATTGACTTACTGCCTCAAAGAGAAGAAACATTTTTAAATATTCAAAATACATACTGATATAATAAAGTTATCCCTAAACACCTTCCACACTACCATTTCTTGTATACTCTTCCAAACATTTTCTATGTTTATGCTAAAGTTATCCCTAAACACCTTCCACACTACCATTTCTTGTATACTCTTCCAAACATTTTCTATGTTTATGCTAAAGTTATCCCTAAACACCTTCCACACTACCATTTCTTGTATACTCTTCCAAACATTTTCTATGTTTATGCTAAAGTTATCCCTAAACACCTTCCACACTACCATTTCTTGTATACTCTTCCAAACATTTTCTATGTTTATGCAATACTAGTATAGTTGGTTTGGAGGTTATTTTTTAAAGGTTCTGCATACTTGTTCTCTATGTCCAACAATGGTAGACATGTAGCTACTGAGCACTTGAAATAAACACTGGTCTGATGAAATGAGTTGTGTTGGAAGCATAAAATACACATCAGATTTCAAAGACTTTATTTAAAAAGAAAATAATGCAAAGTATCTACTTAAGAACTTTATATTGACTACATGTTTAACTAAGAATATCATGGTATCTTTGTTGTTGTTGTTAAGTGCCATTGAGTCAGTTCTGACTCAAAGTGACCCCCTATAGGGTTTCTGAGTAGTTGGTGGGCTTGAACCACTGACCTTTTGGTTAGCAGTCAAGTGCTTATCCTACAGCACTACACCAGGAGTCTGTGGTTATCTTGGGATAAATAAAACATTATTAAAACTAATTTCACAGTTTCTTTTTTAATTTAAAATTACTTCTACTGAACAATCAAAATTATTGCGATTTGCATTCTGTTTCTATTCTATAGCTTGTTTTTCTGTTTTATTAATCTTAACAATATTTGACATAGATATTTTTCTTTTTTCTTTCAGAGATCAACTGCATTCCTTTTAATAGGCACATAGTGTTCATTTACTAATTCCACTCTCATTGGACATACAGCATCTTTCCATTTTTTGTGTATTATAAATAAAATATACTGTGAGTATTCTCTTACTTTCTGAATCATTTCCTAGAAACCGACTTACATTCTAAATACTGGTCAAAACAAAGCCATCACTGCCAAGTCAATTCTAACTCATGGTAACCCCATGGGTTATCCCAGGTTACAGAGTAGAACTACTGCTTCCGGTTTTCTGGTTTCTAATCTCTATAGCTGCTATGTGCATTTGAACTGCTAACCTTTAGGTTACTAGTCACTCTACCAAAAAAAAGAGAAAATCACTGCCACGGAGTCATTTTCAACTCATGGACCCTGTTGGACAGAGTAGAACAGCCCCAGTGGGGTTCCAAGGTAGTAAATCTTTATGGAAGTAGGCTGCGCATCTTTCTCCTGTTTCTTAGATTTCAGCCAATAAGGCTGTGTCCTTTGCATATCATAGGTTGTTAATGAACCTTCCTCCAACCCTGATGCGACATTCTTCTTATTGTCCAGTTACTTGGATTTGCTCAGCATATAGATTGAATGTTGTTGCTATTAAGTGCCATCAAGTCGGTCTCAACTCATAGCAACCCTGTATAGGGTTTCCTAGGAGAGTGACTGGTGAGTTTTAACTACCAACCTTGTGGTTAACAGTCCAGTGCTTATCCTACAGTGCCACACCAGGACTCAACAGATTGAATATGGTGAAAGGATACAACCCTGACATACACCTTTCATGATTTTGAACAACATACAGTTTTCTCATGAGCACAATTAAGTGTTCTGGAATTCCCATTCTTTGCAGTGTATCCATTGTTTGTTATGATTCACACAGTTAAATGCCTTTGCATAGTCAATACAACACAAGTAAACATCTTTCTGGTATTTACTGTTTTAAGCCAAGATGCAGCTAACATCAGCAATGATATCCCTCATTCCACATCTTCTTCTAAGCCTGGTTTCAATTTCTGGTAACTCCTTGTCAACATACTACTATAACTGGTTTTGAATTATTTTAAGCAAAATTTTATTTGTGTGTGATATTAATATTATTAAATAATTTGCATACTCTATTGGATGGCCTATCTTTGGAATGTGTACAAATATGAATGAATTCCTTTCAGTCCATTGACCAGGTAGCTATCTTCCAAATTTCTTGGCATAAACAAGTGAACTCTTCCAGCATTGCATCTCTTTGTTGAAACATCTCAACTCGTATTTCGTCGATTCCTGGAATCTTGTTTTTCATCATACCATCAATGAAGTTTAGTCTTCTTCCTTCAAAACATTGATTCTTGATCGGATGCTCCCGCCTGAAATGGCTGAATGTTTACCAATTCTTTTTGGTACAATGACTCTGTATATTCCTTCTATCTTCTTTATATAAGATGGATTTTTTACATCATTCAATATTTTGCCCATAGAATCTTTCAATTCTGCAACTTGAGGCTTCAATTTTTGCTTCAGTTCTTTCAGTTTGAGAAA